ATTCTAACAAGTAAAAAGAAATGCTAGAGACAAATACTGCAACAGAAATAAGTAATGTCTTTGATGGGCTCATTAGTAGACTAGACATGGATGAGGAAAGAATTTCTGAGCTATAAGATATGACAACAGAAACTTCCAAAACTGAAAAACAAGGAGAAAAAAGATTGAAAAAATAAATGAACAAAATAGCCAAGAACTGTGAGACTACAAAAGGTGTAATATATGCATAATGGGAATACCAAGAGGAAAGAACAAAACCAATATTTGAGGAAATAATAAGTTAGAATTTTCCCAAATTAATGTCAGACACCAAACCATAGATCCAGGAAGCTCAGAGAACATCAAGCAGATAAATGCCAAAGAAACCTACACCTAGGTATATCATATTCAAACTTCAGAAAATCAAAGATAAAAAATCTTAAAAGAAGTCAGCAGTCTTGAAAGGAAAAACCACTATGCCTGTAGAGGAGCAAAGATAAAGAATTACATCCAACTTCTCTTCAAAAACCATGCAAGCAAGAAGAGAGTAGAGTGAAATATTTAAAGAGTTGAGTTGGGAGGGGGGAACCTATCACCAACCTAGAATTATGTAACCTGAGAAATTATCCTTCAAAAGTAAAAGACAAGGCCGGGCGCCATGGCTCATGCCTGCCTGTAATCCTAGCTCTCTGGGAGGCTGAGGCGGGCGGATTGCTCGAGGTCGGGAGTTCAAAACCAGCCTGAGCAAGAGCGAGACCCCGTCTCTACTATAAATACAAAGAAATTAATTGGCCAACTGATATATATATATATATAAAATTAGCTGGGCATGGTGGGACATGCCTGTAGTCCCAGCTACTCGGGAGGCTGTGGCAGTAGGATTGCTTGAGCCCAGGAGTTTGAGGTTGCTGTGAGCTAGGCTGACGCCACGGCACTCACTCTAGCCTGGACAACAAAGCGAGACTCTGTCTCAAAAAAAAAAAAAAAAAAAAGTAAAAGACAAATAAAGAAAGTAAAAATTGAGGGAATTTTTTTCCAGCAGACCTGCCTTGCAAGAAATGTTATCAGAAACTTATACCTATACAGAGAAAGGAAGAACACTGGAGAATAAGTGAAGGTAAATAAAAACTTATTTTTCTTATTTTTAATTAACCTAACAGATAAGTTTGCTCAAAATAATATCAATAATGTATTCAATTATGTATGCTTGTGTGTGTGTGAAAAGTTTGTTCAAACTAATATCAACAATGTATTCAATTATGTATGTTTGTGCTGTGCATATATGTATATGTTCATGTATACATATAATGGATGGTAGCAATGATACAAGTGATGGGAGGGAGAAATTAGGAATATTTTGTCATTATAAGTTCATTATACTACCCATGAGGCAGCACAGTATTATTTATAAGTGGACTTGAATTAGTTACAAATATATTTTGAAAACTCTAGGACAACTATGAAACAGTTTTTAAAAAAGTATAATATGCTAATAAAAGAGAGAAAATGGAATCATGTAAAATGTTCAAATAAAACCACAAAAGGCAGAAAAAAGAGTAGTAGAGAAAAACAGGAACAACGAACAAGAGCAACTAAGAAAAAAAGCAAATTATTTAATAAATCCAAAGTAAGCAGAATAAAATAATAAAAACTATTGAGTAGAAAAATCAATGAAACTGAAAACAGAAAATCAACAGAAAAAAATCAACAAAACGAAAAGCTGTTTCTTTGAAAAGATCAGTAAATTTGATAACCCACAGACTAGAAGAAAATATCTGCAAGAGATTCATGTAATAAAAATGAAAGACTGCTATCCAAATACACAAAAAACTCCTAAAACTCAACAATAAGAAAACAATCCAATTTAAAAATAAGCCAAAGACCTGAAAAGACACTTCACAAAAAAGATATACAGATGACAAGTAAGCATATGGAAAGATTTTCAACATTATATGTCATTAGGGAATCGCAAATCAAAACAAGATACCACTACAGACCAATCAAAATCCAAAACTTTGACAACCCCAAATGCTGGTGGAAGATGTGACAGTGGGGGAGGCTGTACCTGTTTGGGAACAGGGGGATAATGGGAACTCTGTATTTTCCACTCAACTTTATTGAGAACCTAAAATAGTTACTCTGAAAAATAGTTTATTATGAAAATATGTTAAATTATATTAAAATAGTGAAAGTCTCTCTCTATATAAAGGTATATATGCTTGGATTTGTTTTTTGGTTTTTTTATCCTTTTAAAAGCAGAATCTGGACAGGCAAGGTAGCTCACACTTGTAATTCTAGCACTCTATGAGGCCAAGGCAGAAGGATTGCTTGAGGTCAGGAGTTCAAGACCAGCCTAAGCAAGAGTGAGACCCTGCTTGTACCAAAAACAGAAAAAATAAGCCAGACATGGTGGCATGTGTCTGTAGTCCCAGCTACTCAGGGGGCTGAGGCAGGAGGATGGCTCAAGCCCAGGAGTTTGAGGGTGCAGTTAGCTATGAAGATGCCACTGCACTCCAGCCCAGGCAACAGAGCGAGACCCTGTCTCAAAAAAACAAAAACAGCAGAATCCTTTAGAGTCAAGATGACAACACTGACCCAAATTAGTAGAAATCATTTTCTCCTCAAAATTGATGTATCTGGGCCGGCATGGTGGCTCACGCCTGTAAACCTAGCACTCTGGGAGGCCAAGGTGGGAGGATCGCTTGAGGTCAGGAGTTCGAAACCAGCCTGAGCAAGAGCAAGACCCCATCTCTACTATAAATAGAAAGAAATTAATTGGCCAACTAAAAATATATAGAAAAAATTAGCCAGGAATGGTGGTGCATACCTGTAGTCCCAGCTACTTGGGAGGCTGAGGCAGAAGGATTGCTTGAGCCCAAGAGTTTGAGGTTGCTGTGAGCTAGACTGCCGCCACGGCACACTAACGGCACACTACCCCGGGCAAAGAGTGAGACTGTGTCTCAAAAAAAAAAAAAAATTGATGTATCTGAATACCACCATTCCATTTATCCTTAGAATCCAAAATATATTGTTGGAAAATGACTAGGTGAGATGTCAGGTACAATCTTTGACTGTGAAACAGAATTTTCTCTGTATTGAATCAACTATCCCATACAGAAACTGAATTCATAGCTTTGGTTTACTAATGTTATACCTTAACCAAATGTATAGTCAGAATCCCAACAGGAAACAGATGGCACACATAAATTAGGATAATCTGAAGATGGTTTATTTGCAAAGGCATGGACAGGATATAAAGGAACTACAAGGGATGGTGCAAGTTCCAGAGGCTAACAGCAATGGAGCTGTCACCACTCCTAATCTAAAAAGGATAACAAGAGAGGTTACTGGAACCCAAAAAAGAGAGTATCAGGTAGATTAGGCCAATTTGAGAGAAGTAGTGACTTCTTAAGGGATATGGCCAGCCTGAAGTTACTTTACAGGGAAGGAACAGGGAAAATAAATACCCTGATTCACTCTTTCCTTTCTCCTGTCTCCTGCCTAGGCTTTCCACTGGCCCAGCTCAACAGGAGGCCAGAAGATATGGAAGCCCACTGATGCAATCCATATAGTTAAGTCTTCAAGGGGTAAGTCTGTATCTGGAGGGACAAATGGAAGACATATTACACATTGATAAATAACTACAAATAAAGTGCATTTTAAATGGTACTCAGTAAATGTTTCCAAAACATTTATGGAGTGCCAGTTAGGATAGGTACTTAATTTCTCAGGGGTAAGGTGATGGTCCTAAAATGATTCAAAGTGGTATTATTTGAGATGGGGCTTTGAAGGGTATGAGGAAGGGAAATTAGAGGTCATTCTCTGTAGAAAGAAAAAAGACTTACCTACTTCTTTCTCTCATACCAACCCTCTCTTCCTATCAGTTGGGATATTTTTAGTTGCAAATAATGGAAAACTGTCTTGGCCCTAACCAAATGGTCTTAAATAATAATGGAGACTTATTGGCTCACATAATTAAATAGTCTAGAAGTAGGACACAATGCAGGGTGTGTTGATCCAGACACTAAACAATGTCATCAAAGAACAGGTTTCTTTATGTCACACCAATCTGACATCCACATTGTTAGGTTTCTCTTTTTCAGCTTCTCTCATGGTTATAGGTTGACTGCCAGCACAGCGGAGGTTACATTCTTCCTGGTTTATAACCAAAAACTAGCTAAGATCATTTGCCCATTCCTGAATCAATGAATATGACCAGAGGAAAGAAAGATGTTTGTGACCTTCTGCCAATTTAGGGATCAGCTCTAAAGCTGGAGGCATCAAAAAATCTGGGTAAGGTTAGGGAGAAGAAAAGAGGATACTGGTCCTCAGTAAGCAAACAATAAGTACTTAATGCACACCTTCATTTATGATGCTCTAGCAATACTAGACTTTTTCTAGTTCCTTAAGAGGAACTAGAGTACTAGAGTACCAAACCTTTTCCTGCCTCAAGGCTTTTGCACATGCATTATTTTTTTCCATCCTCCACCCTATAACCCCCAATCTAATAAAGTTACCAGTTATTATATCATCACATCCTTTACTTTTTATTCAGCTCACAAGTTTTAAGTTATTTAATCTGTATAATAAATTTTTTTATGTCTAACCACTCCATTGGACTATAAACTTCCTAATAGCAGGAACATGGTTTATTTTCTTCATAGCTGTACCCTTAGTGCCACAGTACCTGGGGCACAGAAGCCACTCAAACAAATATTGAATGAATGAATGAATGGTACTAATAAGGTTGGCATACAGTGAATCCTTACTGAGTATGCATATATATACGTACACCATAAATACGTACACCATTGGTCACAAGTCAAAGAGATAATATTTTGCATGGACTGGAATTTTTTACATTTACTGGAATCCTAACTTGAATTTTATGAATCTGTATTTAAAATATTTTATTTATCCTTCCACCAAAAAAATCTACCCAATTGTTTTCTTGTAATATTCTACAAGACTATTTTAAACTATAATTTCTACTTAATAGTATAAAACTATATCAATCATACCTTCTTTAAACTGCATATTTCAGATTCTTGTTTTTCATTTAAAGCTGAAAGTCTCTTGTTTAATTGCATTGCTTCCTGTACTGCAAATGAAAGACATTTAGGAAATTATATTCAATGTACATTTCAAAGAAAGTATCACTACCATGAACAGGGAAAATATTACCACTGCAATGTATATAACAATCATTTAATTTCAATAATAATCATTAAACTGCCATTTACTATTACCAGAATAAGTTGAATTTATTTGTAATAACTTAAGTCCACTTAAACATTCCCTATTAAATATGCAGGTTTAAAATAAGATAGCACATACCATTTTGTTCTAACTTTTCATGATTCTCTTTTACCAATCCAAATTGACCTGTTATAGTGGCATAGTATTTCTCGATTTCATTTAGTTGCTTATGATAATCCTCTTTAGCCAGAAGATGTAACTGGACCTTTTGTTCCTATTTTGAAGAGTAATTTTAAATGTTATATATATAAAACTCACACATATAAATATATATTAAAATATTTTGTGGTAAATAAATGTTGTTAACAATATACCATAAATGTCATGAAAAAGTACTGAGTATACCATATGGAGGAAACATTAGGAGGTATTCCTAAATCTATATAAAACTAAAGCAAACATTTTTTTTCCTGTAAGCAGTCACTTCAGGTTATGTTTCCCATGTTTATAATTTTTCAAAATCAACTATTTATTAAAATGTTCATCAGTCCAGCACTAAGCAAAGTGGGGAGAAAATTAAAGCAATATACTCTTAATACTTTAGGAAATCATTTTTTCTCTAAATCACCTGAATAATCAGGACCTATCTAAATTACTGTTTTGATGCTTTGTCCTTTCAATTTGATAGCGTAATTTTAATGTGCATTATCAAAACCCAAGTAATTTTTCTGAGATCAATTTTAATGAATATAGCACCTTCTCACTACATTGAGAAATGAAATGACAAGGACAGTATCTCTCACTGACAGGGAGACAATACAATATAGGAGAAAGTCTACTTAGAACTAGAGACAAAACTGGTAAAAATTGGACCCTACTTATATGAGCCTCCACTGCTTTCAGCTAAAGGAGCTAATTTTACCATACTTAGGAATATGACTAACTCTTAAAAAGAAACATATTAATAAAATCAATAACACTTGTTAAAGATTTATCTTGACTTGACATTAGCAGAATCATTGGTTTCACAATTTTCATCTATTTTTTTCCAACTGCTTCACCTTCTATGACAAGCAGTGCTAAACAAAGAACAGCGTAGGTCCCTAAATTAGCACTCAGTACTTGTTTTCTGAATAAGCTGCTGTTGTTTATATAGGGTTCTAACAGTGAAAATTTGTTACATTTCACCTGACCAGCATCCATTTCACTTACTAATGGTACCACAATTTACTTTACTGCAATACTTCTTCCTCATTATAATCTCACAGGACTAAAATTCAGGCGTCCTACTCTATCGTAATCAAGAGAATGGCATATTACTCAAAATAAACCAATTGATTTTTACCTTCCTGAAATTTGAATCTTGAGCAAAAAGACTATAAAACTAAAGAAGGTCAGAGTGATCATACCCAAACTGATAGGAGACCTCTGTTGAGGGTTCCTATATCCTATTTCACAAACTCTGGAATTACTCTGGCTCCTGTTCATTCTCAAACAATTCTTCACTCTCTGGTTGACTGTGAATGTCTCCACTAAATTTCTTTTTACTTAAGTTAACCAGAGCCATTTTGTACTGTTTAAAACCAAATACAGAGCACAGTGGTCAAAAGCTATCCTGCCTATGTTTAAATCCTTTCTCTGTGACTTAGTGTGACCTTGGGTAAATTACCCTGTTTTTAGAGTGGCATTTATAATAGTATTTTTGCCTTATAGGGTTGCTATGAGAAAATGAATATATATAAAGCACTGAGAACAGAGCCTGTCACATAAAAAATCACAATTATAATGATTTGTTATTATTCTTTAACTGACAAAAGTGTCAATAGTTTAACTTTCATTTAGAAAAAGAAAAAACCTTCTTCAATATTAAGAAAGAACACACATTACAATTTAAGCTGTACCTAATATATTATCTTAGCAAGTCTGAAGGCAGTCTTAACTTTTTCAAAGTTACTTTTTAATGATTTTAAACAAAGTGATAACATCATTGGTAATGAGCATGATATATCAGTTGAAAGTTTCCCATACATTTTGTTGGTCTTTTCAAATTCCCTACTTAGTCATTTGAATTAATTGTGCAGCAGTTATAAATGCAAACAAGTTGACAAGTGTCAACTGGGAGAGCCTGGGAGAGCTTAGGTCTACCGTGGGAGATAATGAACAACAGGCCATATATTCTTTTCTTCTAAAATACCATTTAATTCTTGATCTAAAGAGTTATATCAGCTCTCAGCAGATGCGTAGAAACCAAACATGATTTCACTGGAAATTGGGCCAACAGCATATTTTCAATTCAAGGTATTTTAAAGTTTTTCAATTTAAATCTATATTTGTATAGCCTTTATTAGAACGTTGTCTACTACATATTAATGCATGATCCCACAAAAGCTTTCTTAACCTTTCAGCTAAAAAAGTAAACAGGCAGTCAATGCTTGCAAAAGTTAATAATCCTGTTAACTAAAAATGTAGCAAAGATCAAAGATATTTCATGGGTAGTCCTTATGCACAGAGCTTTATCGACATTAATTTGTGATATATCTATTCCAACATCCCTTGCTTGAGGCCAAAATTGAATTCAATGAAAATGAAGTTTCCTTTTTTTACATGACATATTCTAATTTTCAAATATATTAGCCTATTTAATGGCCATGATAAACACTATTAAGACTTCCAAATCACATGGGCACCTATAGCTTATTAGCCCCTATATGCCTGTATGAACCTAGTTAGCTGCTGTGATTTAGTTTTGATAAAGAGATGAAGCGGTCAGCTGTCAAGTTTCCCACTAACTGCATGACTATCAAAGAATAATTTAAAATCTTTGGGAAACAGCAAAAAAAAGTAATTAGTAATCACACCCAAGAGATGTAAGAACATTTTTAAAAATACAAATAAATTGATGTTACTATTATTAAAACTTTAATATTACATATATTTTAATAGTAAAGATTACTTTATTGAGATGACTTAATAGTTAAGTATATATTGTTTTTATTCTTTTTACTTCCATGAATTGATTCAAATTATTATTTCTTTTACACCATTTTACTACTAAATCAAAGAGTCACAAGAAAATAAGGTCAGGATTCACTGCTTTCTAAATAAATGCATATCTCATTTTAAATAAATCTAATCTATGAAAATCAAGATTAGAGAAATAACAGACAGCCCATGCATAATTATGTACATGTGTAGTCAAAATTTTACTTTAAAGTCTTGAGGCATTTAAAATAGGAATGATTTTTAAATGTTTACACATAAATTGTTAGAAATATATTTACTAATATATAAAACTCAATTTTTAAAAACCTATGGCATCCTTAAGATACTTTTCCCTTTTTAGTCACGAGTATAGGCATAGATCACTTAAGAAATCTAAAGTTACACTAATATGTGTGTACAGATATACATATTATAATCATAAAGTTATTTCCAGACAAGTCTTTCAGTTTCTACATTCTACTCTGAAAGAAAATATGGGTTTATTTCAAACCACATCAAGACCTGCAATATTGAAACTGCTTTAATTTAATAAAGAAAAAGAAATGATGTACAAAAAGAGAAATATGACTTAAAGATGTTTGATAAGCTTTTACTTTATTAAGCTGTATTAGCTACTCAGTTATACAACAGTAACCTGTAAATTCAATTATATAACATAGTCATCTATATAGTAATCACTGAACTCAACAGGAAAGATTTTTATCAATGACCAAATCACCATGATGGTTAAGGTTCTAAAGATTCTCTTTAACATGCTTTGTTGCTTTCTTATTATTGATAATAATTGTGATTTTTTTCAAGGGGGAGATTTGGGTACTTTTTGGGATAGACAAGTCTTTTCATTCATGATTGTGTTAACTTATCTAGGAACATATCGCCACCTCTACAAGAAAATCAACTTACTGAATTCCCAGAAGACAGAAACTTACTAGCAGTTTAAGGGCTTACCTACAGATCATATACTTTAAAAGTCATAATGCTCTTTTATAATATATATAAAAATGTGTAGAGAAAATATTACTTTTAACTTTTAAATAAAAAAACATTCTGCCAAAATAAGCACAAAAATTAAATATTTCAATATATAAAACTATTTTAATGAAAAGTGATGTAATGCTTTAAACTATTAGAAAAAATATTATGACTATAACTCAAAAATGATTTTGGTAGGTATAAAGGTTGTAATTCACAATAACAAAAAGCTCAGAAGTGGCCAAAAACTGGAATAACTTTTCCTAGTTTCCATGTTCTTTAAAGATTATAAGCATTTGTTTGATGAAATTTTAAAGTGGAATAAAACACATTTTATGTTGCCTTTGATCTTTAACTTGTAGCCTTATCTCCCAGGTCAAAGGGTACATTATTCAATTTCACTATATTTTGTGTAAAACCACTGTTGCGTTGAAGATGACTTTCAGTACAAATGTCATGGTACTTAAAACTAAACCAGAATCTAGTTTTTCAGTGTCTTAATTAAAATCACAGTTTAAAATAGTCTGACAATATTATTTTTATTCTTTCCAGTTGAACAGTAACAGAATTTTCACATCTTTTATTCAATCAAGCTTATCAATCTTTCTATGGCTCTTTTATTTTCTAATATACCAAAATAATTTCAAGAAGCAAAACACTTTCTGTAATGTCATAAGGAATGATGTCTCATTTCTTACTTCTCATATATTAATATATATAAGCTTACTTGAAAATTAATTTTACTTGCTTTACATATTGCTTCAAAGAATGAAGAAGACTAAATAGCATAAACCCACCCGAAATGCACTCTCAAGATTTAAGCAGAATAGGAGAATTTTGCTCATTCAAAAACACAGAAAAAAAAATCCTTCTAAATCAAACAAGGCTACAAAGGAAGAATATCATAAATTCCATAAATAATTCCATAAATATTCCATAAAATGTTATGCTGTAAAAACAAAAATATTAATTTTTAATACACTATATAAGAAGAATGCACAATAAACACTTGTTGAACAAAAAAGGATCAGGACCACATCCCAAGTGTAGTACTATATTCCATGTGTAGAATCATAAAGGTTGAGTGCCATATTCCAAATACCACTTCATATATTTCAATTTTTTCAGGCTATAATTAACAACTACATATTTGCATAAATACCTAGAAAAGATATCATTGAAATAAGAGACTTTAGAATTTGGTATTTTTCTTTCTTTTTTTTTTTTTCCTTTTGTTTTTTTTTGTAGAAACTGGGTCTTGCTATGTTGCTCAGGCTGGTCTCAAACTTCTGGCCTCAAGCAATCATTCTGCCTCTGCCTCCCAAAGTGTTGGGATTACAGGTATGAACCACCACACCTGGCCTGGTTGTTTTTAATAGAATATTTCAGGGAACTCTGTAAAATTTTATAATATACAAGTTGAGTATCCCTTATCCAAAATGATGGGCCAAAGTGTTTCAGATTTGGACATTTTTTCTAGACTTTGGAATAATTGCATTATACTAGCTGAGCATCTCAAATCAGAAAATCTGAAATCCAAAATACTCCAATGAGCATTTCTTTTGAGCACCATATTGGTGCTCAAAATGTTCCCAATTTTGGGCTGGGTGCGGTGGCTCACGCCTGTAATCCTAGCACTCTGGGAGGCCAAGGCAGGCGGATTGCTCAAGGTCAGGAGTTCGAAACCAGCCTGAGCAAGAGCGAGACCCCGTCTCTACTATATAAATAGAAAGAAATTAATTGGCCAAGTAACATATACAGAAAAAATTAACCGGGCATGGTGGCTCATGCCTGTAGTCCCAGCTACTTGGGAGGCTGAAGCAACAGGATTGCTTGACCCCAGGAGTTTGAGGTTGCTGTGAGCTAGGCTGACGCCATGGCACTCACTCTAGCCTGGGCAACAAAGCGAGACTCTGTCTCAAATAAGTAAATAAATAAATAAATAAATAAATATTTTTAAAAAATGTTTCCAATTTTGAAGCATTTTGAATTCTTGAATTTGGGATGCTCAGCCTGTATAAGCACTATATAATCTGGAAATAAATTTGTGAAATAATTCATTTATGCAATATTTGAAATCAAGTCAGGCCTTTAAAAGTGGTAGCAACATTCAGTTTCAACTACTTCTTTTTTAACTATAAAAGTCACATTTATATTCACAAAAATACTAAGCACCTTATGTTACTAATCCAGGTGGGGAAATATATATATTTTATAATTTCCTTACCATTTCATTCACTTTCTTCTGTAAAGAATATTTAGAAACCTTGAAAAATGAGGAGAAAATCTCATTAAAATTCTTTAATTATCTACAACAAATTCCTTCTGATATTAAAATTATATGCTCTAAAATGTGGCATTTATCTTCTATATAGCATTTATTTTTAGTGGCATTTTTTCCAAAATTTTATTTATAATAATCCTCTTCCTTATAACAAAAACAATATATTCATATATTTATTCAACACATATTTATGGCACCTACTATATGCCAGGCACTTTCCTAGACTCCTAGGATACAGCAGTGAACAGAAGTTGCCCTTAAGAAACTTTCTTTCTAGTAGGGGTGGTGGTAGACAATAAATACAAGTAAAAAGTATAATATGTTAGGGATAACGACTAAGACAAAAATGAAGCTAAAAGATAAAGATCTAGATCTTTATCTATCTCTCTATCTCTATTTATCTATCTCTCTATCTCTAGAGAGATAAATATTTAGATCTCTCTAAAAGAGAGATAGGGAGAGCAGTCTAGGAGAGTTTGCTACTTCATATAATATTAGCTCTTCATTGTAGATGATTTGTTTTTAAAGATAAGCAAATTCCAGAAGAGCTTTTGGAAGAAAAATAAACAAATAATTTTTAAAAGCTAAAAAAAAAGATAAGCATAAGAATAAAAACTCTTGTAAACCATCTCACAACCCAGAGATAAGTCATGAACACCGATATGTCCAGATTTTTTTATACATTTATACTTTAAAAGAGAGCCAGTTACTGTTTTGCAACCTATTTTTACTTAATACATAATAAATAGCTTTCTATGACAAATATACAACATAATTTTTTAATGGCTATATAGTATTCCATTGTTTAACTTTACCACAGTTTACCTAAATGTTACCATGTTTCAATTGTATACTATTATGAATTATTCTGAAATAAACATGCTTGTACCTAGCTATTCATATTAGAATTCCAAGCAGCAGAATGCCTAAGGTTTATTCTTTTTTTATTTGAGACAGAGTCTCACTTTGTTTCCCAGGCTAGAGTAAGCGCCCTAGTGTCAAACTAGCTCACAGCAACCTCAAACTCCTAGGATCAAGCAATCCTCCTGCCTCAGCCTCCTGAGTAGCTGGGACTACAGGCATGCACCACCATGCCTGGCTAATTTTTTCCATATATATTAGTTGGCCAATTAATTTTTTTCTATTTATAGTAGCGATGGGGTCTTGCTCTTGCTCAGGCTGGTTTCGAACTCCTAATCTCAAGCAATCCGCCCGCCTCAGCCTTCACAGTGCTAGGATTACAGGCGTGAGCCACCGCGCCTCGCCTGGTTTATTCTCTTATGGACTTTTAAAAATTGTTACATAGTTCTCCGGGGTGGTTGATCAAATCAAACTCCAACCAGCCATGTATGAGTGCTCATTTTCCTAACCTCTACTTATATTTGCTAAACTTTAAGCAAGAGTACGATAATTACTTCACATTTCCTATGAAATTTTTTAGCCTATTGCCATGAATGAGCTGATAATTTTATTTTGGTAGAATGGGTTATATATGATTCATTTCTTTAAAAAATATTGAGTCCTTACTGGAAGTAAAGCATTAGTGTAGACATTGGGGGTACAATAATGCTGGACCAAAAAAGAATCCTGCCGTTTAAATTGTTGGCAAGATAGACAGTAATATAAATAAGTTAAAATATGTTATATTAGATGACATTGATAAATGCTAAATAGCTATGCTAAAAGAAAAATAATAAATCGGATTACAGAAATCAGAAAAGGCCTTTCTGAGATAGCAACTTTTGAGTAAAGACTTGGATAGAAGTAAGGAAGAACATTTCAACAAGTTCAAAGGCTCTAATATGGGACAATGGGACAATGCTGAGTGTGTTCAAAGAACAGCAAGGAAGCCCATGTGGCTGAAATGGAGTAAGCAAGGGGAAGAACAGCGAAAGATGAGTTCAGAGAGGAGCAAGGGAAGGTAGGGGGACTCAAATAATTGTAGGCTTTGTAATTTGTGATAGGGATTTAGGTATTTACAACAAAGGACTAGAGAGCTCTAAGCACAAAAATGACACAGACTTTGTTTTTCAAAGGATCACTCTATTAACATTAAAAAGGAACAGAGATTATGGCAGGAAAACCATCTAATAGGCTCCTGCAATAATCCAGATGAAAGAGGATGATGAAGGACTAGGGTACTAGTAGTGGATATAGTGAGAAGTGGTTAGATGCTAGATATACTCTGAAGGGAGAGCTAAAAAATAAATGCAACTGGAAAAAGAGAGTTGTCATTAACCAGGATAAAAAAGATTAAATGCTAGACATAGTGGCTCAAATGTCTAAGAATTCCTCATAGATAAATGTATAAACTCAAAGCTCTGGGAAGTTAATTTCCTTTTGTCAATGTGATTAGGTATGGCCTAATAAAATTAGGTTTCAATAGTAGAAACAATTCATTTTGTATTAAATATGCCTTCAGTTCTGTAAGAGGAATTAATATCTTACAAATTCAGTAAGTTTAAATTTAGTGAAATAAAACAGGCCTTTAGAGCTGAAAATCTTAGAGATATCTATCCCAATACTCCCAATCTCGTTTTCACCACATTCATGTCTTTTCTGGGAAGTTGAATGAAGCCTTTTTCTCTACTTCCTAACTCCTGTTAGGAAGGAGGGTAGAGAATATAGGTATGTTATTGCTTCTCAGATGGATTTGTTTAGGAAATGCTGATGTAGTTCAATTTCTTAACTAAAAGAAAATTGAAGCTTAGAAGCAAAGTGTCTTACCACAGGACTATGTAATAAGTCACTGATAGGCAGAAACAGTTGGTTTAAAATCTACAGAAAATTTAGCAAAGTATGTTTATTTAGCCCCCAGGCATATTATCTTTATAGAGTTTTGTCAGATAATTTAGATGCAAGAAAGCTGCCCTGTTCTAAACCCATCCCTTTGAAATAAACTAACAAGTTACCATGTTTAAATAGAAATGGAACACATTAAAAGAATACATTAAAGCAAAAGTAATTCAGTTTTTTGGTGTGTGACTTTTTGTTTTGGAGTTCAATAAGTAGACTCCTTTGCTACGAGCTCCATAAGAAAAGGCACATATCTGATTTCGAATTCCTGCTACTTAGCACTTAGTAGAGTATGATCTTATGAAAGGAAAAAGGGAGAAAGAGAACTAAGCAACTAGCAAAGTACAGGAGGGAGGAAAGTTGCTACATATTGGCTAAGATACTTCCTTGCCTACTGGATTTATATCAGATCCTTAATTGAACAGAAACTTCACCTACATTTCTTCAACTTTGGGGGAGGAGAATCACAATGTTCAGCAGACCATGAAATACCCTATACATCACCTGTACTACGTCACAGGTTAAACAAGGCAAAATAAATTTTTACAGCTCTTGCATAGAAGGTCAGCCATACGAGGAATTTTTTTTTTGCTCTGAAATACTCTTTATGATTTAGATAATTAAATATTCATGAATGACAGCAAATAAAACAATTTAAGGAGTGCTAAAAGGATAAAGTACTTAAACAAAATGAATACATTCCTTTATTGACAACTTTTTAGTAGGAAAAAATGTAATATTTTTTCAAGATTTATTAAGTAAAAAGAAATTAGGCAAAACAAAAGATAAAACTTATAACTAGTTCAAAACATTGTAAGAAAAAGTTAGAGAGGTGTTTTTACAACAGAAATACAACTACAATGGCAATTTCTGTTCTCAATTATAAGAATGATTTTTTAATTTTTCCGCATAATCAGAAAACAAGTTCACCTACTGGGATCATTTTAAACTGGACATCTGAGGTGTGGTAAGAATCACTAAACTTTATAGCTACGTAAACTTTAAATAGTAAACTTGTTCCTCTATTTCTTGTTCTATCAACCTGAAAAATTATTGCTGGATATCAATATTAACTTCTTGCCACATCATTACTTTTGCATAGTTAATAACATTTAAGCTAATATAACTTATATATAAATTAAAGTTATATTTAAAAGATAACATATTTTATAAATAACTTATATAAATATATATAAATTAAACTTATAAATAAAAGTTAATAACATTTAAGTTTTTGTTCTATAACCATAATTAAGTTTTCCATGCTTTGTTTATGGGTTAATTCTAGAAGTGGAAGCCAACAGTATTTACATTATCACAATCGAGATAGATATTGTTTAATGCATTGCCCAAAACGGTGCTAATACTCGTTCCCCTTTCTATAGGTCCAGTGAAGTACTTGAAGGATGATTTTACGAGGCTCAGGACCAAAATAACTTTTCTTCTTACTCTCTATCAATTTCTCAAAACCGTTCCAAATTTTAATTTCTTTTATATCTTTCTTGTGCAGTCATCTGTTTTCCCTAGAGTTTCTTATCAGCACTTTCTTGGTGAAACAAGAAATAAGGATTCTTTACTATATCACAAATGTCTTCCAGACTCTTATTCATTCCACCTGAGGTATGGAATCGATTCTCTTCTTCTTCCTAAAAATATTTCTCTTGTAACTCATTGTACACAAAGTCATGGAAACTAAACACCCTACTACAGAATAATAGGTCAAGAAGGAAATTAATATGGAAATCAAAAGATTCCTTGAACTAATGATAAAGGGAACACAAGTTATCAAAAATCTGAGGGATACAGCTAAAGCAGTCCTGAGAGGAAAATTCATAGCCATTAATGCCTACATCCAAAAGACAGAAAGATCACAAATCAACAATCTGATGAATCATCTCAAAGAACTGGAAAAGGATGAGCAAACCAATCCAAAACCCAGTAGAAGAAAAGAAATAACCAAGATTGGAGCAGAACTAAATAAAACTGATAATAAAAAAAACTGCACAGAAGATTAATGAAATAAAAGGTTGGTTCTTTGAAAAGATAAACAAAATTGACATGCCTCTTGCTAGATTAACCACAAGGACAAAAGAAAGGACTCTAATAAGCTCAATCAGGAATGAAAAAGGAGAAATTACAATAGTACCACAGAAATACAAAATATCATCTCTGAATACTATAAAAAT